GTGGCAGGGAATGTCATTCTCTCTGATTGTATTTCCGACACAAAATAAATGCTCATTATAAAGATTTAATATGCATTTGGAGACGACTTGGAGCAAACTGCTTCGCTAAGTTTATTTTTCATATTAACTAAAAGAAATCAAAACGTTTCGTTAGTGGATCCGTCCTGTTTTGTATCATTCAAATTTAATTTATATATTATTACTGATAAGACAAAAATTTATTTAGATATTTCTGAGAAACTTCGAACTTATGCACTTGTGAAATGAATCAAGCATTGATTCTTTGTTGTCAAGATTCAGCTCAATTTCCTACAGGGTAAATGTTGTGTGTGCGGGCCGCCGTAGTATACGTGTGCAGTTGTAATAGTGTTTTGTAGCATAGTTTTCGGGGTTGGCTGCGTGTGACTACAGTCAAGTCGAACAGTGGTTGGCGCTCATGAATTAAGTACAGTCAATGGTTATACGAGTATGAAGGAAGTGTTGGCTAGGATGAACGCATGGAAGTATGTATATGCGAGAGACTTAATGGTTACAATTGCGTGCATGTTTTGGTACAGTTACGTTTAGATATTAATTTTTTTAATGTTTAGAAGCAAATACAGGATGTAACGATAAAAAACTAGTCTCTTTTGTGAGGAAATATTCACATATCAGCAGATTATACCCTTCTAATAACTATACATACATACACATGTACATACATATATACATAATTACAACACTCCCACCATCAGCTAATTTATATATGTACATATGTATGTATGTAGGCTTGTAAATTCAAAAGGCATAAACAGATTACATTCACTCCTTCTATAAGCCAATTTTGAAAAATTACCAACAATTGCACCGTAAGTACGAGTAAGTAAAATTACCCAATTCGCTAATTAATTGCTGGAAAATTGTTTGTGCCCTCTTTGTATTATATTCCGTATGGCCTAGTTTTGCTCACCGCTGTTGTGGGTGAACTTTTTTAAATTGAATTTTTTTTTTCTTTTATTGAGTCTCAGCGATGTTGACGATACTGCTTTTGTCAATGGCTACCATTGTTGCGCTTATGATTGACAGAAAGCTCGCAAAGCGACAGATGCAGCAGAAATTTACTATATAATGAAGTCTGTGCTGACTAAGAAAGCTAATGATTCCAGTCCAGTCTTTTGGTGGTGAAATACGCAATATCGAGGATATTTATGTTATAACACTTATACACATATATCGACTGATGTATGTACATGTGTGTGTATTTGTCTATATACACATGTGTTTTACACAGGGCATTCAACGGGCTTCAAGCATTGACAAGCTGTTACTAGTACTTTAAAAATTACTTTTAAAATGTTACCCAGATACTCGTACATGTCTATATACATAGATAATTTCTAATAATAAAAACAAGGATGGTCGCACTTATAGAACGCGAGATACAGATCACCGAAGCCGCTTATTGCAAAAATTATGGAAACAAGATCTGTCTTTGGCCATGTCGACGTTTATGTTATTTATTTTTATTATTCATCACTAGTTCTCATATCTGAGCTTGTAACAGAGCCTAAAAGCGGCGTATGAGAAATATATGTTACATTCTTCCGGTCGTGTGTCGAATGCCAAGTTTCACGTTCTTAGGTGCCCTTTTGATAAATTTCGGTCCCGAAATCTCGAGTCTTAAAAATCGGTCCATATGCATATAATACGGTTTGCCGATCTGGAAGAGTAAAAAATTTAACACAATGTGTACGCAAATTTAATGTATATACTACACTTCTACTACCTAAATATACTTCATACTTTTGTCTGCATTGAACAAACTGCCAGTCCCTGACTAATCACAGTAAGCAATTGATTGATAAACTTTGTGATTAATGAAAAAAATATGTTTATATGTATATATGTACATATATACGAGCAGAAATCACACATACTTATTTATTAATTTTGCATTATAAATATTTGGATAAAACTAAGCGTTAAAAAGAAATGTATAATGGAAGTAGTTCAAGGTTGGCAGTGTAGGCAAATAAAAACAATAGCAACAACACAAAAAAGGCGACAACGACGCGACGAAGCCAATAACTACTATTCAAGTCGAATGAATACAGAAACAATAACAACTGATTGAAGTGGACAGTAAAGGAAGAGAGAAAAATCAAATCAATTGTAAATGTTCATATACACATATACATATGTACATAAATGTATGTATGTATGTGTGTACGAAATTCCAATTAGTTAAAATCGTAATTTTCTTCACACTTTCTTATAGTATTTTAAAACCATTTAACGGTTATGATTTTTGACATTTGAGTCTTGATAAAACACACCCACACACACACACATTTACTGCTGTCAAGTCAAGTTCACAAAAATTTACACTTTCACTTTCTTCGTGGAGGAAGCCACCAATAACACAAAGAAAAAAGGAAAGAAAAGAATTAATTGTAAATGATAAAAAAAACATTTAAAATTTTTAGTAAGCCGCTTTATATGCAGGCCGCTTACAAAGCGTACACAGCTTTTGGCCAACGCAAGCGAAACACGCCTTGTAAATCTCAAAAGGCCCGAAAACAATCCAATCCCATTTACGAGTACTTCTTTATCAATGTTTCCTCCATTTCGAGCGATTATGTATAGAGGTATATACATACATGTGTGTATATATGCACACATATCGTGGACTTTACCCACAGACAGCTGAGCAAGTCCCAGCGAGACGGCGCGTGGGCGAATGGTTAAAAAATTGGCTTCGATTCAACTCGACTCACCTGCCCACAACACCGTTAAGCTGCTCGTCTGATTTCAAAACGAACGACGCCGCCTGACTGTTTGGTAGCTTCAGTCGGCGCTCGGTCGCCGTCGCTCCATGCATTTCATTGCATCACTCGGCCATTTAGTCAAACAAGCCAGGCAGGCGTCGTTCACCTTCGCTCTATTAACGGTTGGCAACGAAACGCCGGCTTGCACAACGTCACTTCGTCAGCGCACACCTTTTTGTAAGTTTTTTTAATGTGTGTAAGTGTGTGTGTGTGTATGCTCGATCGGTTGTGTTGATTGAGCAGAGTTATGTGTTTTTACTTCATTATTGATTTCCACCGTCTTTTTATATTACATATATTTACATATATTTTCTCTGAAGTGTGGCAATCAATGACGTCAAATGTTGTCATCAATTTGCTATTGGTAATACCAACAACAACATAAACAAACCGCTGACTGCAGTTCGTATAATCACATACGTTTACATATATACCACAAGCCATTTATACCATAGCCGATTTTGTTAAAATTTTCAGAAAAGCTTCATGGAAACCCGGATGGTGTTCCTCTGAAGCTTGGATATTTTCGAAAGAGTTGCCACCTGCCAGAATTGAATTTAGTCGCAGTTTGGTACTTATTGCCTACATTAGGATAAGCAACATTCCTCTTTGTTGGAAGTGGTCATGGAACCGATATTTTTAAAAAATCTACTTAAAATTCCTCAGAGAGCACCAGATACCGATCTTATATTTTAATGGTTCGATTTTTTAGAATTTTTTTAGGAAGGTATTTTTTTGTCTAGGCAAACCATCGCCAGATATTTTCGAGGAACCAAGGTCGAGTTGCTATATTGCCGCGGAGATAATCGCACATCAACAGCCTCTGTTAGTAGTGGATCAAAGTAGCGTCGTTTGACTTACTTCGAGGCTTTTTTATTCTTATTTTCTTCGAGGCTTTGAGTAGCGAAGAACTCTCTGAATAATAGCCCAGTAATATTTAAGCCAGCCATGAGTCATCACTAATCAACGTATTAAGTAATTTTAAACGCCCCACATAAGCAAAATAATATTTACCGTTTTTCATGGAAGGCATAAAGCATATTTAGTTGCTGTGAAGAAATATTCTCAGGAATTAAGAAAATAACAATTGGATATTCGAATAATAAATAGAAAATTATTTCCGTGAACTTTCTGGAATTCCTTTCAAAGCGATATTCACATATACTATATGGGTATATGAGATATGCTTGTATGCGTTTATATATACGAATTTAGGCCAATCTCCTCCTCCAATTGGTGGTGCATGTCTTTATATTTTTTCGAACAAATGGAGGGATCTACAGTTCATACAAAGCCGCCTTCGAATGGGCTTCAGAAATACACTCGGAGTGTTTGACATTCCCTGCTTAAGGGCGGCCGCTTTACAAAATTTAAGCAGCAAAACACTCCACTTACAGAGTGGGTGGCCTCTGGTCTGTGTTATTTGGTTGCAGTCTTTATTGACTCATTACTTTCTGAGTTACTGAAAATGACAAGCCAACAATAAAACAATGTAGTGTCTAATATTCCTTTCATATGATGCTTCTGAACGGCAGATGGGTTTTATGAGGAGCTTTTCATTGATGCCAAAAAATACATACTCTGGGAAGGCTTAATTTTTTATTAAAATTAGTTTTCCGTAATTTTTGGTTGCTGTTTAGAGCAGGACTCGAACTCTGGCCTTCCGAATAGAGGTTCTGGTTCTTTACTGTGGGTGTTATAAAATTGTGCTTTCTAGTTTTATTATTTACTTAGCTGTGTCGTAATTGAAAATTATCTGCTGCTCACTCTTAGTTAAATATTTCCATAACAGTTGGGCTTTTGTCAAGTCGACAAGTTTTACGGTATTCCATTATCAATTCGATATTCTAATTCAACAACAAATTCTATAGGAAATAATAATATTTCACGAATACCGTAATCACTTTAAAACGGTTAGAGCACGAATATTCAGCGTGTATATGTGTATACACTCGTCCATAGATACTCGTATGTATATTTCTGAGTAAGTACATAAATATTTCTACACAAGTGCATATACATACATACATGCATATGTATTTGCCAGGTAAACAATAGACTTCTGTTTTGTTATTAACACTTCTTATTTCAAAATAATATATTTGTCATCACTTCTTCATCCATGTTTTCCATTTGAACAACGAAATTTCGCACAGTCTAATATAGCAATAAATACAAGTAAAAAATCCCCGCTACAGGCGAAGGAGGCGTGTACGCCCAATACATTTTGTACATTTTTTTTTACATTTTTCTAGTTATTTGCCTATGAATATATATTAAATACGCAGGTAAGTTTGTATGTACAAGTGTTTGTGTTTTTTCTATTTCCCAGAGACTACACTGTGTATCCAATCGATGTATGAGGAGATGTCCGTGTAGACGGCTGGATGGTCGGCCATGCCGCAGCGGGTGAAGCCGTAGCTGACGACGCCATAGGCAACCCAACGCGAATATCTGCGATCGAAGTACATAAGTGGCGCACCGCTGTCGCCGGCACAAGTGTCTTTGGCGAATTCGCCACCGGCACACACCTGTTTGGGGCCCAACTCAATGCCAAATCTAGCCAAAATAGCGGTGCAATTGTCGCGCCCTACGTATGGGATGCGTAGCTTCAATTTGATGGGACTGTGAATGTTGCGAAAGTATTTGTTGACTGGTGCAGTGAGAGAAGAAAGGGAGATTAATAACGATTCAGTATCTTTCTGGAGATACTTACACAAGTCTGTGCGTCCCCAACCAGAGACCGAAAACATTTCACCCGCCTTAAATGGACTTTCGTCGCCCTTATTGGGCAGACAAATGGGCATTATGAAGTGTGTGAAGGAAACCGCACGGCTTAGTCGAACTACGGCGACATCGTTGAATTTGGCGACTGAATGCTCATCGTAGTCGGGATGAACGAATATCTGATCGTAGCCAATATCGACAGCGGCGTCGGCACAGTTTAGATAATCCGGCTCCTCAATGCAGTCTGGTTCTGTTTTAACGTTGAACTCGCCTAATCGAATAAGCTTCCTACAAAGACAGTCCCATTTATATCATTTCAATAGAAATTGCAATTGAAAGTAACTCGAAAAACTTTCCCTAAACACTTACAAGCCTTTCTTTTCGCGCACTCCCTCGCCCCGCACACAATGGGCCGCAGTCAGAATATGACGGTCGTCTATGAGCGCCCCGCTGCAACCGAAATCATCTGCGTATAGAAATTTACATGAAAGATCAACTCATTTTCTTCACAAAACACTTCAGCTCATAAGAGTACACATGTATGTATATGAACATGTGTACATATATAAAAAGTGAACCATACTTGAATTGTACACTAGCAACGCCAGCCACGGAAACTCATCCAGTTCGGCGATCTCGCCGCCATAAATGCGATTCGTCACCTGCTTTCCACATTCGTTCCTCAAATTGAAACTCTGTGCCGGGTCCACTGTCTGAATGCGCCGTTTCAGCTTCTTGCGCTTGAATTGTGCGGTGACATTTTGAAAACGACGATATTCGAATTTTGAAAACTTTAAAGATGGGTATAGATAGTCCTGTCCATTAGCCGGGCAACAGACCATGGGCTCAAGCACATTTGCATCAATCCTCTTGCATCTACACTGTACTTTCTTTAGGAAGTTAACCTTCTCTGCAGATATGTTCACTGCATTGCGTGCTTGCGTATAAGCCGAGCAGTCGCTCACCTCCAAGCAGACGCCAGATTTTGTTTCATTCGGTATATTGCAATTGACTTGGGTTGTTGAAAAGGCAGCGGCTTCGATGTGATTGTTTTTACCGTTTTCGTGTTTCGTTTGCAGTATTACGTCTGTATTTGCGTGCACCCGAAACGCGACTGATAGCAACAATGTGATGAGGAAACAGTGGAAGTGCATTGCGATTTCGAAGATTCGGAATTTCGAATATACCACGCTCAAAGTACGTAACTACCTCGTCAATACAATTGGTGTACCGACAGCGCGGAGCGTAAGTCGAGGCAGGTTGAATTACCACGATTTGCGGACTGTCGTCTGCTCCAAAGATAGACACTGACGAGACGATGCGAAGCACGCGATTTAATTTGGCACGTAGCTTTAACACTTTTGCCGTCAAACGTTTCAATTATCCGCTCAAAACACGGCCACGACCACACCAGCTCGACGTACCGCTCAGCTGTGAACTTGAATAGCGCGACTGTATGATGGCGGCGACGCAAGCGAGAGTGAATGGAAGAAAACGCTTGGCTGAGCTTGCGAGAAATTTATTGTGCGAGTATGAGCAATACATACATAGCTATAGATGGTTATTTTAAGTATGTTTGCTTGTGCAGCCATATAAACAGTGTCGTGCCCTCTCCATAAACCGGGCCATGAAGTTTCGGGTGCTGCCGAAATCGTTTATTAGCGTGTACCCCTTATTGGCCCTCAGAAAAACAAACTTGCAAAATATATTGTCATCAGCAAAACGAGATCTCCATGCTGATGCTGCGGTCATTTACACTTCATGTTTACCTTTTTATCCAAAAGCCACAACGCGAAGTTGTGTCCATGAGAAAGGGGAAAGATTGCGTAATGACGTAATGTATCGCTCTCATGGCCGCTAAGCAACATACTTAAAGCCGGTTTCATACATGCGCTATCGGGTGTATATGTAAGTATGTTGCGTCAATCAGCTGTTGTGGTTTCACTTTCGTTTAAGCCATGATTAAGTTATGTCGTTCAAGAGTCACATACGTAGTATACTTTTAGGCCTTGGAATTAGTAACGAAAAATTAGATGAGTTATTATATTAAGTATCTTATACTTGGTAATTGTAAAGTGAGAATAAGCAACTGAACAATAAGGACAATAAAATCGGTCTATATTCGCCACTAATAGCTGAATTGAGCTTGTATTGGTTTAAAGCTCTGAAAATCATGAGTACTAGAAATTCCTGAAATATTTAAACATCGAATACTCTCGACAAATATGTTACTGATTTTGAGGTGTGAAAATATAATATTTATAGAGTAATATCTCAAGATCTAATCGCTTCTAATGCAACTTCAATTTGTTGATTTCGCTCTGGCCAGTGTAAGTAGAAAATACCTTCAGTCACTAATTGAAAAAGCTTCATTCCCCCACAGCCGCGTTGCTATAAGAGTTTTGAACTGCTAAAAAAAAAAAGTAAGACGTTATACTGTGAAAGCAATCATGATAACATTGGATCGTGGCTGATGTTCTTGCTTCCAGTGATTTGAGATTTAGCCTCTCAATGTACTCCACGAAAATTTGAATGAAAATAACACGAAAGAAACCGAATGACACTACTCGTTGAACGATTGCTATCTGCTTCTTGAAGAAATAAATAGGAAATCGAATTCATGTACCGCTTTTTATAATAGAAGGATCGCTGACCCACTTCAGGATTGTTTCTAACCGTTTAAAACCTTTCGTGAACATCCACATATATTTCAAGATCGAAATTTTCCGAATGGATTCAGTTCTTCTGATTTTTATATAAACAAATTGGCTTTTTGCTCACCAAATTATAAACAAAAACAGTTATGAAAACGAATATATTTATAAGGGGTTTATCATGGCGGTGAAAAATAATCATTGCTGTAAAATAGTTGGAAAATTAAGAACGAAATGTACCGGCCGAAAAAGCGCCGCTACCGTGCAAGGCCCCAGCGTTATTAACGTATGGAAAGCCCGTAATCGGATATGTTCAACGTGAAGTATGACACAAAGGTCAGCAGCTAATCGATGATTCGCTTAGAAAACCTCAGGCGATAACCAAGCCGCGTATTTCATATTAACTTGTAATGGTTGATGCAAAGGTGTACCGTTTCTTCATCTTAAAAAGCAGATTTTGGAAAAACTAAGAAACCACATTAAAGATACATTTAGTTATTGACAACAACATTCCTAAGTATGAATGAATGTAGCTTTGTGGGTATTATTATTATAAAGAAAAATAAGAACTCTATAATAAAATTTTCAGCAAGTATTTCATCATTATATGTAGGAGTTTCCGGTTAAATTACACTGGACAACAAAATTGAAAACTTTTTTTGTCTTATAAAAACTTATATAAAATTAGTATAAACTGTAGATCCCTACATTTTCCGCTGAAAGCTTTAAGGCGAAAACCACAAATTGGAGGAGGAAGTCGGCCGAAAATCGCTTCAGCGGTTACAAAGCACCAATTATATATCCGAGTATATAAAACATCAGCAAAAACAACACAAAAATCTACACTTATACAATTTTCTTGGCTTAACTTATAGTAAAGACTTGGGATTTTTGTGAATATCTGGCGTTTAATAGATCCCTTCTAAGTCTCCAAAAATAATCTCACCGCATCAAAATTGGCTGGAAAGCAGTTCAAATGAGAGTCTAAGACATGGATCATCATATTAAATTATAAGTTCACTCATTAATCTCTTTATAATGTTCTAATTTATGGTTGTCCAGAAGTGCTCGACAACATTCAAGAAACATTGCCAGGTAATCAGCTGGGCATTCAGTTTTCTCTCCAGCGTCTTACCCTTTATTTGTTTCCGCACTTGTGGGCCTAAAAATATTCTCTCTTTAATTGTAGCCTCACTGAGTTTCGGGAACTTATTTTTTAGCTTTTGGAAAATTTTTTATCAGGCCTAGATTTATGGGCAACGGTGGTAAAAGAATCTCCTCAGGGTTCAATGTAGTGCAATTTTTAACTTTTTTATTGACTTGAGGAAGTGTCTTATTTGTAAATAAAACAGCAAACTTTTGTTTAATCAAACGGCAGTCCAATGAATTTAAAGTCGACACAAGTAGGAGCAGGTTCACTGTTTCGTTAATCGGTGTATCACCATGATCCCTAAACTGAACTTCACCCTCCACATTGGTGTGACAGTTAATAAAGCCATAGGAATATTTTGAAATTCGAGGTATTGAAAACAATCTGTTCAAAACCAATTTCTCCTTTTTTACCTGAGAAATTTGCATACAAGACAATCTTCCTCCCCATAATAGTCATCTGAAACTATGTAAATAACCTTCCCACTCTTGCCAGTCGGGGGGAAATGCTTGAAGTCATTTTCAGGCTGAAAATAATAACAGCTCCTTGTTTCTAAAAAAATGTACGAGTATTGTTCATGTCTTCATTTTAGCCGTAGCACAATTTACATATCTGACTCGTTTTCGTTCCGCAGCAACACTGGCTTCAAATCCAAAGTCTGCGAGGCGTCAATAAACAAAGAAGTAGTTAACTAAATTATTATCAGCAATGACAAAAGGGAAATCACTTTCAAAATGCATTCAGATATACAAAGGTATTTCCCTGAGGCCACCATAAGAGTCCCTAGTTGGTGAAAGATTCAAACTTTTAGCTTTGTATATTTTAAATATTTTAATTTATTATTTGTCGTTGTTGCAAAAACACGTAGTATTGCTAAATTTTATGACATAAATACATTAAAATATAAATATTTTGATAAGGTGTACATACATACAAACACATTTCTTTAAGTGAATGTACACACCTACATACATATAATATATCAATTTTATTTGCTCCTTAAGTGATATTGACTAATTAAATAATGATGAATGAGTGGTACCGTTATCATCTAATGCATATGACACGAATTAAAAACTAATGGCAAGATCACAATTAAACATTTTAACTCTAAACTATTAAATGTGCACGTAAATCTATTTTATTACTACGTCTAATTGCGCAATTTTCCGCGTATCCATGCGTCATAGTTCGCCACACGTGTATGCACCGCTGGCCAACCGCCCAATCCGCACTTGTAACCGAACGACACAATGCCCTCCAAGACCCAGGCATCGTTGCGGAAACGCATCAGTGGCCCACCCGAATCACCTTCGCAACTGTCTTCGGCGTAAACACCACCAGCGCATATTTGACTCTCCACGACATTCACATTGCGGGAGCGATACATTCGTTGACATTGCCCCAAATCGACCAGGGGCACTTCGAGTTTCTGCTTAACGGCACTCTTGGCGCTACGCAGCGTGCGACCCCAACCGGCGACCGTATACAGCGTGCCAGTAGCTGGTGCTGAGCGCTCTTGCATTACCACTGATGGCAAGCAAATGGGACGTATCGAGTCTGAGAAGCGTATCTCCCGATCTAGACGTAAAAGCGCTATATCATGCTCGTGGTTAGCCGCACTGTTCAAGTATTGCTCATGTGGTATGATCTCTTCAATTCCGACGCGCAAGGCTGGTGTGGCACACGAATACTGATTGCAATCAACTTCCTTGGTGATGTCGAATTCGCCCAAGCGAACAGAGATACTGGGGAAGATAGAAGCGTATAGGGTTTCGATTATATTTCATTTCACAAACTTAAATTTTCGATCTGACATTTAAGGTACATTTTATTTTTAGTGTTCAAAAAACCATTGGTCATGGAGAATTCTTATTTATCCGCAGAATAATGGCAATGTTCTAAAGTCTTATTATCTGTAAAAAATTAATGGCAGGCAAGATTCTTTTGGCTGGAAACGAGCTTTTACTTTCTTTGCAACAAGAAATGACGTCATCAAAAAACATATGCCACTTACAGCGTTCCGATTTTCGTTTCAATTTCCCCCTTCACGCAATGCGCCGCGGTTAGTACATATCGACTGTTGATGAGCGAGCCGGCACAGCTGGTTTTCAGGCCTCCGGAGCCTACAACTAGAATAAATAAAACATTTTAGAAACTAATTTCATACATACATACATCCTACACTAAGCACAGTAAGTATGTATTTATAAATATTTTCGTCAAATGGGAAATGCAACATAATATTTTTGCCTACACATGCATATACTTGAATATCTGTTATTGTCGCTTACTTACGTCGTTTATACTCCAACAGCACCATCCATGGAAACTCATTCAGGTCTGCATCTGTGCCGCTGTATATCTTGTTCGATATTGTCACACCACCGCAGGTGGGTACACGCGGTAGTGACGCCGACGCGCGCACTTGCGCGCCAGTCGTGAGATCTCGAGGCTGCTTACCACCGCTACCGCCTTCCCCCAAAATATTAAAGCTTCTTCCGCCGCCGCCACCACCAGAAACTTCGTTGAGTCGTTGCCTTGGTCGGTATCGTCCGCCGCCAGAGCCGGCGGGAAAGAGTACGGTGGTCGCCTGGCGATTGTAGTCATCATAAGTGTTGCGCGTGAAGCCGGTATCGCCGGTGCAGCACACATACGGGCCATTGCCATAGCCGCCGGTGCATTCAGATGCGCGAAGGAATTCGGTGTCTAGTGGTTGAATGGAGCCGCGTTGCAGCACCGACAACAATGTCTGGCAATCATAAATTGAGACGCAGGAGCCGGGACGTTGATTTGGATTGAAGCAGCGACGTGCTGAGCAAAAGTAAACAAGATGAAGAGTGGAATGGTAGAGTAAGTGAGCATTCATATGAAGTTATTGTATATGTGTGTATGTATGTACACGTATGGATGAGTGAATGCATGCATGTGAAAGATATCTCATCTCACATCTGGGGATTCACCTTGACGACCACACTCATTGTCGCATTTCTTTTCTGCCGTTTAATTTGCTGGAAATCGTGTTTTTGAAATTTTCCATTAGTGCGTGCTTCTACTAGACCGTCGCAAATGCAATTGGTCTAATCGGACATTTCTGTGGTTTACCAATACTGGTTTTTTACTCCTCTTTATTAAGCGCTTATTTTTTGTTTTGGTTGTCTTTTTTTGTTTTTTTCTTTTGTTTTGGCTTTGTGGTTTGGCACTTTGACTAATGAAAAAGGTTCTTCACTTTTAATGACAGCGACGACCGCATATTTGACAACTTCACATTTGCATAATGCAAATACATACATATGCACACACATACACATAGCGGTATATAGATACGCTTGTATATTTATTATGACAACAATGCATAAATGTATAACTAACAGTGTTAAAACAGCACTTCTCACTTACAAGCTTTGCCAATTATTTGTGAGCGTCTCACTAATGAAGGGTAATTTTTCAGTAGGCAGACGAGCCAAAAATGAATTTATCACAAGAAATGATTCAAATAAAAATTACAACTTTTTTTGCATAACTAAGAAAATTCAGATTTATTAATCTTTGATTTCTGGCATCAATTTATATATGTATTTAGAATACCACAAATTTTTATTTTACCCTTTTTCAAATTTAAATCGTATTATAAAGATACATACATATGTATACGGCATTGTTTAAGTTACATTTAGGGTATCAAATACAATTTCCCGGTTTTTTTATTTCATAAAAGTTAAAAAATACCAGTAAATATATACTCGTAAATGTATATATGTATACTTAATATATACAAATTCTCGCATCACATGCCGGCTGGACCGATTTTCATATCTGATAGGTATGAGAATTGGTCATCATCAATTCTTCACCACGGGAGATGTGCCAGGAACCGATCTATTTGAAAAATTCTTCGTTACGGTGCGAATTAGTATGCAAATATTTAGAAATTAGTCCGGAAGCCGGAAGTGTGATTTTTTTCTGAATTGGCTAAATTTTTTTTGCAGTTATTCGAATTTAATCAGTAAGGTTTTTGCCAAAGGAAATTTAACCTTATTACACGAAGTGTGCCAAGAACCGATTTATACGAGAAAGTGTTATTCTATTCGATTCACTTGAAAATTAACGGATTTGTAGCTTTTTGTTGCAATTAAGGGGATAATGGTTTTTGAAAATCTTATTTATGGGTAAATTTTTTGAAGTTCTTTTCATTGTGGGTAGTGGATCTGTCACCGATCGATTCGTAAAAATCATATTTATGTTTCAGTTTGCCTGAACTTTACTTTCTTGAAACGGCTTAGATAATTTTAAGGGGACGGCCAAACGCGCAAAAGGAAGTAAATTTTGCATGGTCGCTTGACGTTGTCTGTGCGCCAAAAAACTAATTGACACTACCATATCGCTGCGCACTGATTTTAAGTTTATTTAAATAATTCACTCTGGAGTTAATCCAAAGGTGTGGAATTGAGGCCCGCCGAAGTGAACTAATAATAATAATAATATGAATATCTTTTATTTATGCTAAGTTTAATAATTTCTGTTCTTTATTCCATTATTTATCTATTTTTGACAACAACACTTATAGGAATAAGAAAAAATATTAAATTGAAAATATTGAAAAACTTTTTAAGTTTAAAAAAAATGCAAATGAATAGGGAAATGTTTCGCTAAGCAAAAATGAATCGAAATCCATTCGATTTCAACCGCTACTACCCACCACTGAGTTGATTTCCAATTGTTTTTAATAGTTTTGAATTGAAGCATTTTATTATTAAAACTTAATATCAATGTTATGCACGTATGTGTGTAGAGTCACATTAAGTTGTTCATATGTATGTGTGTCATATTCGCATACATTTATTTCACATACACTGTAATAAATTTTTTGCTACGTCACGAAACGTAACCGACATTCTTGGCATAATTACCCCCCGATGGGTATACGATGCCAATAAAAAGAGCAGCAAGTGTAAATAAATAAATGAGTAGGGATTTAAGCATTCTTTAAGTTAATACATATATATATATATGACTAGACCAACAACACAAGAGAGGTAGTACTTGCTTTGTTTTAGCTATTTTTAATTGAAATGCGGATAATCAAATGCAATAACCGAAAAACCGCATGCAGACATTTCCGCATCTTTTGTCTAACATATTATAAATATGAATTAGTGTGTGTGTGTGCTCATACACACACACATATGTGTATACGTGTTTTAAATCATATTTTATGAGTGAGTAGATATGTACATATGTGCATATCATATGTATGCGTCATTTTATCTGCCTACGGTCTACGTGTAGCTCATCATAACATATTTATATACGTACATACATACATACGAGTATTTCATATTTGTCTGCTTGAACTAAAATGTGTTTTAAAAACAATAACTGCCAATTAGAAGTATAATAATCATAACTTATGCTTCTTAGTTCGTATGCAGACCAAATTTATTATTTATATACGAGTTTGTATATACGAGTATGTGTTTTAATGGCAAGTGCTAAAATCGGCAACAATTTCGAATTGGCCTCTTCATAGCTTTACAATTCAAATTTGAGCGGGGAGCTTGAACGCCGGAAGGTCATTCGCTTTTAACATTTTGTGAAGAAAAGACTCAAAGTTTAAGCAATGATGAGGGCATGCTTCCCACTGAGTAATACTAAAGGTTAATTAAAACTGAGGAAATGTTTGCCTTTTCGTTCATCGGAGTCGAAAATTCATTTATAAGAAAATTAAAACTTGGAAAAAAATAAATTTTAATATTTGTAACATTTTATAGCTAACAAAAATAAAAATAAAATGTTTGTGAATCGTAAAACCAGCTGGTAATTTTACATTTGTTTTCTTACACAAAACACATACGAGTGTGCACAAATTCTAATCGCGGTCACCTCGACGGAGTAAAATATATAGTTTAGAAAAATAAGATTTCTTTTTACTTATTGAAGCAGAGACCCTTTCATTGATTTCACAATTTCTCGTGTTGTAACCCAACTCAACTCAACAAACAGATGTCGTCATTGAAAAGCTTCAAATATGAGTTTTCCGTAGGTAAATTTTCCGAAAGAATCCTTTAAGCCTGCACTGTTTTTCTTTATCACTGAGTAGATACTTACTCTGTGTCTCGAAATACTGCCCGAACACCAAGCTGAATGGAACTGCACTCACTGCAATTGAAAGTGTCAGAAGTAGCATTTTTTGATTTTATGCTCAATACTCTTTGTAAATGTGTACGTTTTCACCAAGTGTGTATTGTATTGACACTCTGATTTTGCAAAGTATTTAAAATTATTCCGTTAAAAACTTGATTTCAAGATGATTCTTCTTCACAATTGTTAATAACCACACATACACACACTGCCACTTCGTAGTCGGTTGAATTTCAAATCAGTTTAAAGCGAAGACACGGAATCTTTGCGATTGTTTAAGCGAAGAGCGTGGAACGCAACTGAAATCTCAGCTGGAGTAGTGGTCAACTTTTATACGAAGCAGAGGGCAATCCATTTAGCCAAGACCAAAGAAAAAAAATTGTTCACTGCGTGAGATGCTCTTCTATAATTAGAGCGGTGAAATTCATGAATGAGTTGTCTGAGTGACCAGATTGGTGCCTTTACACGCACGAGCAGTCAGCAGGTTGAGAAGCTGCCTTCGGCATGTGTTTAGAATGTATGTATGTATCCGGATGTATGTGTGATTGCTTCGATTTGTAAATCACTTCTATGTCTGTCTACCCATATACTCGTACTATTAGAGGCGTGAGTAAGCATCACATCTCATTCAAATTCGCAATATTTACATTCTCTTCACGATTGTAGGTGTCGTGCTGTCCCGTGCGGCAGGGAGAAATACGAAATGATGAAACAACTTTTTCAAATTGAAAGTCTGTTGTTGTTGCACGCTAATCGCCGTTTCAGCTGCCGTTCTTGTTATAGTGATAAGCAGATGATGACGTCAACAACAACATTCCACTTGAAGCTGAGCTCTCGTGCCATAATCAAGACTATCAGAATATTAAGCACATACATAAATACACAAGATTAAATATATGTATTATACATAGTACGTTGGTGAGTAGTGCGGGAGGTCCTGGGTTTCAGTTCATGATCGACAAACATATGAAATTTAATAAGAGTAATATAAACACAAAATAATTTAAGTCCCTTTAGAGTGTATTTCTGACATGAAATAAAGGCTCCTCGTAAAAGTTCATCAGCCATTGTGAAGCGGCTTAGAATGAAATGTAGGTCACTCCATTTTTGGAAATGAGGTTGGACCGAAAATCGCTGCAGCAGCTACAAACCGCCAGTTATACTGATGAGCATTCGCTTTGCCGTCTGACAGCAACACGTTCCAGAAGTATTTACTGAGTCGATTCACAAATTGTAAATTTATTTACCTTTTTATTAATTTCTTATTGTATTTTTCTAGCTCAAATGCGAAATAAACAAATAAAAAACATGTCAACTTAATCCTAACTTCCCGCAAAAGCTGATAAGTGATTAATTCAAGCCATGTGCATACTCGCACATATAAGCGGTTTTCGAAGATGTTCTCAAACGAGTTTCAATTGCTGTTTAAATACCTTTGTACATATGTATGTTTACACACGTTTACGACATTATGTAAATTACTTAATTACAATCTTAAATCACATTTACAAACCTCTTGTTTTGTTTTGACTTGAGAGAGTTCGCTGCTTAAATCTTCTGCCTTCGGGACTTTACTCCCCCGTTGTTACGCGTTGGCGAGAATTTGGATTTTTTCGCAAGAAAAACAAAATACTGCTCATTCTAATAAACCACTTACTCACACACCTGATTTGTGGCCTACGGCGCCGCGCGATAATCCCAAACGCCTATTCATACAAACATATGTGCACATACAGTGAGGGGCAAACTGAGCTGAATTTGATTTCAACATTTACTAATTTTTATTATCGGAATAAAAATGCTTTTTCACAGGAACTTCTGAAGTGATCCTCAACAGAGCTTCTCCAACATTTTGTGTTATGCATCTTGCGGATCTATGCCAATTCACACTCAAGTTGGACGTGGAATGGCTTGAAACCCGCAGGTGCGGAATATTGACATTGCGGAGCGAAAGTACCTGATCTGTCAGTTACAGGCCTTTGGTTTATTTTCAGGAAACAAAAGTATTCCTTAGGTATGTCATACAAAACTTTAACCAAACCGAACCACGAATATTGTGCACATCTATTCTTCGAATAGATCGTTTCACTTCCCGTAAAAGCGGTCAAGCAATTTTTTTCGGTCATGACTTAATTTCATGAATAGAAAACAAGTCTTCCTGCTAATGACAGTGAAAATCCAGCTGTAGATCGTATTTTAAGTAAATCGAACCAGAAGTAAGATTTTTTCGAATAGCTTAGTCCCTGATTTACTTCCTAAAAAGTTGTTTCGTACAAACCGGAACAAACTGCTGGGTGGCTTAGAAGATCACAGGAAACAAACACACAAATCAGGTTTTGTATATGTATATATACATATTTTTTTTTTTATTGGCAGAAGATAATGAAAAAAAAAGAAAATTATCTCGTACAGCCTTGGTATCATCCAAAGAGAATTATTTGGCTTTAAATTTGTTCCACACTGTACTCGTACATAATTGTATCAACATGATCATCAAGATGAAAATACATACATATAATGAATAATTTCATAAGATGATAAACAAACAACTAGAAATAATAGGATTAGCAAAGGCGTTTGTACTTTACCTGTTAAGGGCGTTCTGGGAATCCAGACTAATCTGGTTAATTTAACTTCAGAGCCAGCTTATGACTGTGGGACTTCAGTTATTTTCCACTGCGATCAACGGTTTGCCATTTATTCAGTCTTCGTACTTTTTCCTGAGCATGTTTGGCAATTTAATATCATTTAATGTCCTTTTAGTTCTTTTTAGTTCAAAAAATTTAATATAATATTAATATATGTATGTATCATAGATACATGTATAATAATTAGAAAGGCATTGCTATCACTTGAAGGTCCGTTACATGTGGTTTTCAAATGCTCTCATTAGCAATGCATGGACACAACCGCGTATTTCCCCAAAGTACTTGATTGATGAAAGTGCAGTAAGACCTATTTGTGAATTGATCTACATTAATGGCAATAGCAGTAAGGCGATCGAACACACTTACCGATTGTCCGTTGGCACCTATGAGGGAAATACCTGAAATTATTTCCGTTTCCGATCGGGTATTAGTCATACAATCTAACCGTAATAAATACATAATTACACACTTGCACACAAATGTATGAGACAATAAAGCTCTCTGAATGCTGCTTGGCAGGCTTTTTGAAATTCTAGTGCTACTTGTACCAGATGCGACATTGCCGTTGTTTATTGGTTAGACAACGGCTATTGAACTCTAGCTGAACTGAAATACCGGTAGTTTTGCGGTAATTGAGCCGCGTGATACAGTAGTTTTGGTTAGTTTTTGGGAAAACTCCAAGAACTCAGTGGCGCTAGCTTAGTGTTGCGGTAAAGCCACTGCATATTTATTAAGGCGTTTCAATTGAAAACCACTTTATGTAATAAATATATTTGTAAATACATAGATTAATCTCTTAGTCGCCTTCGATTTGAAAAGTATTATAAAATAAGAAACATAACTTAATATATATATATATGTATATAATTGACGCTTTGAAACCGCTATGCAACGCGCTAAAGTTATTAATATCTATCACAAAAATAAGGTTTAAGCTTGGCCACGTGCTTTAAGCGGAGATTATGGTGCACATAGTCGTCTAACTCCTCAAGCAATTGGAAAAAATTTAAATGAGTTTGTAGAGACTGGGTTGGTTACAGATATTGTTGGGCCCGTGCTTCATCATTTTGCTCGTTTCACTTCAAAAATCGGTACTGCAAGTTAAAAAGTAACCGATCTATATCCCAAAAAGTGCAGCTCATACAGCAACAACGCCTTACATTCAAATATACATCGACTGGGTGCTGGAACAACAAGACGGGGAGGGCGATTTTTCGTACAAAATTTCTTCAGGGCGAGTCACATTTCTCACTAAGGAAATGCGTAAATAAGCGAAATTGTCTAGTTAGCGACTCCGACAGTCCTCAAATAGTTGAAATCAGGTCATTACACGCAGAAATCCTACTCTTTGTTGGCCGCTTTGGTCCGAAGGTGGAATTGGGCCTCACTACTTAGGAAACTCGGAGGCGCTATGGCTGTATTGTCATACATCGACTTTTTTGGTATGAAATTGAAGAACACGACTAGGAGAATGTATGGTTCCAAGAAGATGGGGCCACATGCTCTCAAGCGGCTCAAAGTTTGTAAAATTTGGGAGGCGGTCATTCGAAAAGTGTTTCACATATAATTCCAAGGTTCAAATTTTATAATGAAAAAGGAATTTCAAGAAAAATAACTTCAAACGTATTTTAGAAAATAGCACTCTTTTACCGCTCAAGCGTTTTACGGTCGTACTCCTCCTCCTATTTGTTGTAAGCGTCTTGATGTTTTTCCAGCAAATGGATGTATAGTCAATACTAAGTTTGTTATGAGCAGCTTTTATTTCATGTCAGAAACACACTCGGAGTGGCGATCGAAGTTGGAAAATATATCTTCATTGTATAATTTATTTACATATTTATTTGCCACTTTTACATATGCGTACATTAATTTATTAATTATTTATAATAATTGAATATAAATATTCTAATATATAAAGTTTTATCCACAAATCATTTCTCACAATACACTGCTTCCATTATGGGTGGTCTCTTTCACTACCACGCCTCCATGTGCTCCGCAATCCAATCAATATAGTTTCGTACGCGGGTGTAGACACCCGGTCGATTTTCATGTCCACACCCGCGGCGTCCGAAGGACACAATGCCCTCTATGATCCACGAGGCTGAGTAAAGACGCATAAGTGGGCCCCCAGAATCGCCAGTACAAGAGTCTTGTCTAAAGACACCACCGGCGCACAGCTGCTCCGCGGCGACATAGAAATACTTTTGGAAAATATGCCGACAATGTTGCAGTGAATAAAGTGGCAAATTGACCTTCTGCTTCACGCTGCTGTGGCGAGCTAAAGACGAAATTTCGGGGGGAAAATAATGTCTTAGAATAAATCCATGTGCACAAATGTAATGGCTTACTTACAGAAACCCGTATGGCCCCAGCCAACGGCAGTCAATAGTTCGCCCTCAATCAATTCCTTCTGGAGTGACGCAGTAGGCAGACAGACCGGTTGGATGTGCTCGTCGAATTTCACGGATCTGTTCATTCTGATCAATGCTATGTCATTTTGCTCTCTTATACGTATATCCCGGTTAGCTCCGTAATTTTCATGCACCACCACGGATTCGATGCCCACACAATACCCGTATGGCTCGCGGTCCTCCTCATTGCAAGGCTCTGAAGTGGAAAACCTGTGATCGCCAACTCGCAGATAGACACTGGGGAAAAAGTAGAGTGTAGCATGTGGTGTTAAAAAAGTTTCTGATTCGTAAACTTAGTAATGTCAGTATGTATTAAGACCAGAAAGTTTCCGGAAAAGGTCCTTTAAACTGCCCGCGCTGAACATTTTTCAGCACTATTTTTTTTTTTTTGGTAAGTTGCTAGCACTGTCCTTAATTACTCTGCCAAAAATGAGCACGATCTGTCAACCAATTTGTGTGCAGCAGCTGTTAAAATCAATCGACCTCAGTTCCCTCTGCGAATTCTCTTTTACGGCCTCAATTGTGTCGAAACGGGTTACCCGGAGTGGAAATAAAAAAAGTCGCTTGGGGCCAAATCTGGTGAGTACGGCCGTTGATCGATGGTATTGAACGAGTTTTTAGTCTTAAAATGTTTTCACTCAAACGCTTCAAAACGCTGAAATAATACTCTTTACTGCCTGATTTAAAACCATTTCCGGAAACTTTCCGGCCCTAGTAAGTAAGTTGAGATTTGTTTGCATACAGTTTGCCTATCTGCTCTTCAATAGTGCCAGTGACACAGTGCGCTGCAGTTAGTACATAACGCTCATTGATTAATGAACCCGCGCATTCAGACAAAATGGAACCATCCTCTGGAAAGAAAGAATTTGAAATTTGAATTTGAGTTTAAAATTTCATTTGGTGGAACAAATAAAGTATAAAATTTAGCACAGTTTGTTGCCATGATTTAAATGAAATTTCTGAGAAGCGTTTTTTTCTTTTGAAACTGCTTAAGGAATGCAATTCTAGAAAATGCCCCATAAATCTTATAACGCCCTCATGATTTTAAAGCATAACTATGCATACTGTATATAGTAAGATACTCGTATGTATTTTGTTACTCTACTCACTTAATGTGTAGCATTTGATTATTAAACACATATATCTGCGGAACGAAATGCGTAGTTTTGATAAGACTAATTTTTTTATTTTTCATTCACAATCTTTCACGAATATTTCTTGAGAAGAATTTCAATTATAGGAATTTCAATTCAGATATTCGATGAATCGAGTTGGCGTTCTTATACTATGGAGTAATTTATTATAACCCAGCAGCAAAAGGTTAAGGTCTCGGAAGCAAAGAGATAAATTGAAAAAACTGGGTCTTTGATGCCTGAATTCATAGCTGAAAATAGCAAATGTGGGGCCACCTATTTCAAACACCATTTCTTGTAAGGGAACTGTTCATCTAATTTTTCATACTCTTATTGTAACCTTACTACCACGCTCACCAAGTAAGGGGTTTTTCAGGAGCCTATTTGCTTGCAATCAACTGTCAAAAGCTGGGTTGTTTTTCTGCTTTGTTTCATTTTAGAGAGTTTGTGTCTGCTTTTACTTTTAGGGAATCGATCTGCATTAGCCCTTCGCTTCTGAAAGGTATGGCCTCACCACATTTGCTAGAGGGAATAAGTGTGCGGTGAATATGTAGATGTAAATGAATACATACTATTTGTTTACATTATTCTGACTAACGGTCTCCAGTGCATACATCTGTCTATGCATATATAATCGATTATTGCCATTAATTTCTAATTTTATAGGCAGTTAATACAAAGTTGCGGTATCCCAGTATGAGATAGAATTTCGCATACCGTATACAAAGTATGAGCGAAGAGAAAGTAAAACGAGGAATGCGACCACAACCATTGATAATGCCGTAAAAGATAACCAATACTTACCAGCTTTATATTCCAACTTGACCAACCAGGTGAACTCGTTTACGTCAGCATCTTCGCCGCCATATATTTTATTTGATATTGCCAGGGCACCACAAAGCGGTGGCTCTATGAATGCGACTGCGACTTTCGGTCGTTCAGAGCCAGTCCTCTCGGTCGTTATCATATCCGGGAAGACAACGCGTTTTTTCTCAACTCCGTTGGGTTGATTGAAGTCCGTGTCGTTGGTGCAGCAGACGAATGGGGTTTTCCCATCCCCACCGGCACATTGAGACAAACGTACGAATCGATATTGAGCCTCCAATTCATTTCTAACCACATGAGACAACGACACACAATCATAGATGGAAATGCATTGACCGATGTTCTGGTTCGGATTCAAACACTTCGCCGGAACTTTTTGAAAGTATAAACAATTATGAAAAAAATTAACTTTTCATTTATATAAACATATTTTGAGTTTGCCGTTACCCGAATAAGTTGTTACTGTACATGCGGTCAAAACTGCAAAGACTCCGCTCAGAAGCCAGAATTTGTTAGTAGAAACCTGTCTCGACATGATGACGCTATTAACGGTCTCACTTCTAAGATGCAACTAAATCCCGGACTCGCTAAGTGGCAGGGCGTACGAGTGCACTTAGTAGTTGTGAGCAAGCTTTTAGTAAAAGCTTTTACTAAGAACATTAAATATATGCTTTGCAATGAGAATGATTTATTTATTTATTTTTTTGAAACGAACAAACGAATTTTTTCTGCTTAACTCTGACTTAGCTTATCGGACTGAAGTGCCTATGCATTCGACAATTTATGCATAAATTCACTTTTGCATACAATACACACAAACATATATGCAAATCGATAAATGTATATTATTATCGACTAGCGATAACCACCAGGCTGATATAAACTCAAGACTACTATGAATCTCAGACAAAAAGTTAGGTTATGCAGGCTCCAGGTAACCCATTAAAACGCATTGGGCGCGGAAATGAATGAAACATGGCACGCGGCAATGGGTTATTCATTTATATACATTTATATTATTGGCTTTTTGTAGTCGTTGAAGCAATTTGCGAGTTTCTCATCAAATTTGTGATGTTCGTCTTGAGGTTTTTCCAAGAAATGGAGGGACTGCCTCTGAAAGGCTGATGGTTTATATTAAGAACTTTCATTTCATGCCAGAAATACACTTGGAGGACTTGCAAACCAAACATGTTTTGTTTTGTTTTAGTTAAAAGTCGCTTGGTGTTTCAAACGTGGCCACTTTTCATGATTTAAAATTCCATTATGCTGGTCATAACGCTTGAACTCCTAAAGCGATTGAGAAACTATTAAAGAAAATTTTAGAGACTGAATCAGTTACAGTTATTGTAGGGCCTGTGCTTCACCATTTTTCTAGAACTATCTCAAAAATCGGTACTGCAAGGGAAAGAGTAACCGAAGACCTGAATCAAGAGCTGAGCCTTTCTTACGGCAGATTATGAAGACCAATTCAAACAACAACTGAAGTCATCTGACCATTCACAACGCCGTGCATACATACGTCAATTGGATGCTTGAACAACAAACAATGGACGGCGACTTTTCGTACATAATTTCCTTCAGGGACGAGGCGCACTCCTCACTTGTGGGATTGCAAAAAAAAATAAAACTTACTGACTGGTGCGCTCTTTAGTCCGGATGTGTGATTAAAACTTTATTTCTTTGAAAACGACTACCGCGAGGCTGTCACTGTCAATTCGATGGTGCCACATGCCGCCCAACGGGAGCTATATGCCTTTCTTTCTAGAGAAATTTCCCGGCCGCGTAATCTCTCATCTTAACAAGGGCATTTGATTACTGAGATCGGACGATAATTGCATTTATTTTTTTTTGTTTGGCTACTCGAAATACCGTTCTTTTCGTTATTATTTGAAATGTATTTTATTTACGTTTACTTTCGAAGCCGCAAACCGAAAAGTCCGTTTTTTTATATATGAGTATATACGAAGTCTGTCATATGGGGCATCTCCACTTTTCGATTATTCAAAACCATTCTTCCTTCCACATAATTACTCCTCGTGTTTTGATTCAGATTTTAAAGGAATGAAAACTGGAATTAACTGGAAAACTGTATTAAAAACACAATCATTATACTAGCTCATAGCCTGAATTAGAAATTTTATAAGCGAATTTGAGAAGCAGGGCAAACTATTCAAAAAAAAAGCCTCTTCAAAAATAATATCACGAGTCTCTTATGAACCCTTTTTCCGCCGTCAACCGAGCCGAATTTCATAACCATATTTGTATTCTGTTAGTAATTTGATACTTTTTGAAACAGAGGCCACCAAATAAACAGATGAACACAATGACTGAAATAACAGTTAAGCTGAAAATCACTAATTTGTAAAGTAAGTTTATATTTCATTTCAAATCATTTCATTTCATTTTATCTATGGGTAATAATTTCAATTTCTGACGCTCTGCTGTGTTAAGGAGCAACCAAAACGATGACATCAAGGTGCCACATAAAGTCTCTACGGGATATTTGAATTCGTTGAACTTGTTGTTGTTGGCTGCTGACTTTTGGCTTTGACAAGACAGAAAACCATTTTGACTAACCTTTTAATTTCCGTCAATTTCCTTTTCGGTCATATTCTCGTTTCGTATGCATGTTTACATACACACACACATTTACATTTACATTTGTACAGAATCATTTGCGTTAACCTTTTGTATCTGCTGAGAGTGGAGAGCGTGGGGGGTGCAAATAAGAAAAAGTCTTATGCAATTATATTTTGCCATAAGCGAGGCGAGTTTTCCTTAGAGCCCGCGGGCGTATACGAAAAGGGTTAAATTGGTGGCAAACGCCAGAAAAACTGAAAGGGTTGCGCACCGGAAAAGCGAAAGTGGAGATGTCAGCCGCAGATAACAGTGGAAAATTTAAATGAAAATCGCGAATATTGTTACGATGACGTCATACCCATGTATATGTGGATGACATTAGTTCTCTGTGAATGGCCTATCTTTCCACAATTATTTTCAAAGTATTTTATTATTCGAATTACAGAAGGTTTAAAAATAACGGTTACTAATTATTTGCATTCGCGACCCAAGAATTTGAATTCACACACAACATATGTACGTACATACAATTGTATCACTTTGAAAGACTTAAATGAACGCGTGAGCATGTGTTAAGAAAAGACTATTTGCAAGAAGCTTTAAGCACACTTATTAAAATGACTGCCTACATTTAGGCGCCAGGCAATATAGTTAGCTCACAATTTTGCATACTTGCTGCGTGAACATGATATCCGGTCTGTTATGGGTGCACACTTTGCTTACAATGAGGAGATTTTTCTTACTTGTTTCATAGTTTTTACCCCAACAAAACTCAGCTTAAAACCATATCAAGGATTTTTCGACCATTTTCCAACAGTTGCGGGTATATGTCATCAAAATCGCGCCGAATATTCTTTTCCAAGGCCTCAATCATCTCGGGATTATCTGCGTTGATTTCACAGAACCTCACACAAATAGCCACCGGGGATAAATACCACGATTGTGGAGCTAACGCTACAGGTCCATGGCTCGAGTTAATGCGTTCATCAACAGTTTCCTTTAATGAGATGATTGTATCGTTGGCTGTACGGCATGTATCGTCGTCTTGTTGGAATGAAAGGTCGTCTACCTCAATATCCTCCAATTTAGGAATGGAAAAGTCATTAATAATGGACTGATTGGTCGCTATCTCGTTTTGAGTTCATTCACTGAACGTGCAATGCGCTTGATGTTCATTCGGCTTCAATTCTACCACGATAGTGCAAACCAGGATCCTTCCGCTAAATCTTGCATAAAGCTCAAATTATAACATGTGATGGCGGGAAGACACATTTGCAATTTGTTCAATACTCCGCTCTGCGTCTTCCATAATCACTCTGCGGCGTCTCTGAGGATGTGCATTATACACTGCTGGGCGATTATTTCGACCGAATTTTGGACGCAGCGCGCGATGTGTTCACATGACCCGATCCATTGTTTTGGCAATAAATTTGCACGATTTCCATACTTTTTCAGGCGAAAGTCTCTTCATTACGAAATGGAAAACCAAACTGAATTTTATCAAGGAGCATTTGTAAAAAATATCAAATCTGAAAAACACGCAATCAAATAAATAATAAATAAATAATTGTACACCTTACGGGCAACATTTCCAATCATTTCGCTGTGGAGGCAACTTTAACAGGCTGTTTTCTCAATGGAAGCCTGATCGCCGGCATGTAAAATTAAAAACGAGTATCTAATTGTTTTCTTCCAGATGTATGTACTTATGTATGTACCTCGAAACTGTTTCATAAGACGGAGACACCCCTTGACTGGAAATTCACAGTACAGGTCGCTGAGTAAACACTTGAAACCGCTACAGAGATAAAAAGAAATGGAAAAGTCGAAAGATTTATTTTAATGAGTAGATTATGACGTAACGAACACCTTGAGCTGTTTGCGTTTTCAATCAAGTTGTAAAGGCCTCAATTACGTCTTAGTTTTTTAGTCTTTTGTATGTGAATAGCAAGCTCCCCTACAATGAAAGGAGGAGGCTTTGGCACTCGCAGTATCAAGCTTTTACACTGCTAATGTACTCGTACATATGTCACACGCACAATTTATTTACTTTCGAATTAAATGTGTGGAACATAGCAATAAACCAGAAGAACAATAGGTGGAGGGAACAAAAAGCCTTTATGAACAAAGAATTTATGTTAAAGCGCAATTTATGTATTTATATTTATTTATATATCTGTTAGTATAGTGAGTATGACCAACCAACATGGTATGGGGATGGAAAGTGCGATGCCGATGAGCAATCCAGATAGTGATATCGTCGGCTGATTCGTGGCCTTTGGCTTCCTTGCAACCTCGCCATGCCTCGCTGACTTTTATTAGTTTCAACACAATTGTTTTTCGGTGTTCTTCGCATTAGGCATTTCTCCAGCTGAGGCGCAAAAAATGGATGTCAATGCTTGTCAAACCATAATAAAAGAGGCGAAACAAAACACTATTAAACGAGAAACACACAACTCACCTACTTCATGCGTTTAAAAGTACTGACACAGCTTGACGTTTGACGCCGCATAAAAGTTGCGTTAAACATAAAAAATGCAAAATTATTATCCTTCAAGGCGATTCTAATTCATTGAAACACGCATTTGATTTGCTGATAGCGTTTACGAGCGCTATCAACTGGCCTTGGGTTCGGCTGCGCACTTGGGGACGCACGGTTAGACGGATGGATCGCAAAACCTTTGAGGATTTGATGTGTACCCAGTTTGATGGAGATTTTATTGCCGCGTTGTGAGCTTTTTACGGTTTTTGCATTTGCCAAATTCACGCGCAACAAAGAAAGAATCAGCAATAATAAACAATCAACAACAAGAGGCTGAACGAAAAACCTTATCAACGAAAGAGGTTGTGTGAAAGTAAGTTTTTGAGTTCGTTAAATTGAATTGATTGAAGGGCTTGAGGAACCACTTTATGAACTGTGTTCAAAATGACGAGTTCGTCGGAGCAAAATCAGTAGTACAAAATTATTTGATTTTTAATTTATCACT